TCAAACAACATTGATTTCCTTAAAAGAGAAGGGTCCAATAACATTGCCTATTAGACCTTGCATTTTCCACAACATATGGTAGGAATAGACCTAGCAAAGATCAAGCAATTCATATGTTTATAAGATCAAGATTGCGAGTCAAAGGAAATCTAGGGGGAGCTTGTCTATGCAAATCATGAATCATTCACCATCCCTAAATTAGATTTACTTTTCCCGCTGCTTTCAATTCTTTTCATTTTGTAAAACCGAGGGGCACTTCAACCCTTGAGGAACTTCAACCTTCAAATTCTCATTTTCAACCATAGAACTCTTCACTCACCACCTGAGTAAGTGGTAGTGAGAGACCATAGGGAATATGATCCTGGTCTTCGGACATGGTAAATTTGCTTACAAGTACTAGACGTGATCATCTATCTATGCTCATCTATCAGGCGGGCTTGAACCTTATGTCAATGGGAGCGACGAACCATGACGACATGGGTAGTGGAGTTATGGTATCCATAATTTTGAGTGGGGCCAAGCAATTCCCACGTCAAATTCATGTCAGTGTGCTCCACTCGCACATCATGCTCACTAACCATGACATCTAGCCTTCAATAATGAGTGGGATATCTTTGCTCAATACTCCTTGGGGGTCGCGATCTCAATGGGAGCTTCTCTTTTGGGTGGTTTTCTCTTCCCTCTTGGGTGCAAGGACTTTTGAGGTCAGCCTAGTTGGTTACCTCAAATAGTGAATCGATCATGGCTTGCTCGGTCATATCCTGGAAGTCCATGACCACTTCTGACCATCTAGTTATGAAGACTTTTCCCCAAGTGGTGATTGGTATTAATCAGCTCTTTCATCTTTAACATCTTGTGCTTCTGGCTGCAAAACTTTTAGTGAAGTGTAGGGCCAGTTTCCCGAAGCCTTGACTAATGCCTTCCTCCATCAAGGCATACCAGTTCCCAGTGAATCTTGAAGGAAAGGCTTTGCATAACGCAACATCGGAAGAGCTGATGAGCTACAAGCATAGGACGAAGGCGTTCAATTGGTTTTCTGGATTTGCATTTACATCATGAAGGAAGATCCTATGGGTTTGAAAATTGGGAGGCATTGGTTCATTACGGGCATACGACACCAGAGGTTACCTGATGATTGTGTGTCCCATTATTGAGGTCTGGATGTTGTGTGTGCATGCACCTTGATTCGGGGAGAGCTCCCATATCATGTAGTCTTAGCGTACTCCATTTCCTTGGGTAGATATACAAGTTCTCATGGGTCATGAAATCATCGCCGACTCGATCTCTTTATCCAACGCGTTAGGATCGCAAAGTCTTGTTCTGTTGCGCATGAGGTCAACCACTCATTCGAGTTGTTCTTGTAGACTTGTCAACTTCTTCTCCTAAGCTTCATATTGTTCTTCTAATGGGCCACCTGAGTAGATTCTTTCATCTCTTATTTTATGAAGTCTTCTGGTAAGTTCAATGGAATCCCAGTTGCATTTTGGGTGCCTCACAGAGAGTTTTCATTGTCCCTTGTTTCTCCGTCATCCACTCATGGTTACTAGAAATTCACTCAATGGCCTCACCGTGGGTGCTAAATATTAGTACCCACTTGACTGGGTCGGCGATTTGTTGGAGTTAGGTGGCCGCTACAGTGAATTCCCACTATAGGCGGCACGAGGTGGTTTGGTCAAAGGGAGATAAGTGAAAGATGGCTAGAGTTATTATTGTTATTTAGGTATAGGGGGATATAAAATACGATATCAAGAAAATAGTGGAAGAGAGATGTTAGAGGGTCATGCGTAGTTACTGACCTAACGTAAAAGGGAAGAATACTGGTCAATTTTCTATGTTACTTTATAATCAGTGTATAGTTTTTTTTCTAAAGATGTTTCTCCTATTTATACTAGGAAACTTTGGTTTAACGACATGAATGCATTGTGCAGGCATGCCAAATCGTGTTTGAACACTTCTGAGTGCATTTACTATAGATCATACGCATTCTCCAATTATGGCATTTTGTTTGTTCTTTTAAGTGTCTCACGATGAATTTTACTAATAATGCGCAATCACAAGTCCAAGGGTCTAAACTGGTGTGTGGTCTCGTGGATCGGTGGCTCGGTGGCTCGGTGATCTCTTTTCATTTGGTGCTGATACCTAGGGGTGGGCATCGGTCGATTCGGTCTAAGACCGGACCAAACTATCCTCGGACCGGACCAAAATTTCTTCTAAATCAAGGACCAAAGTCGAATCGTTATTACTTCGATTCAGTCTGGATCAAACCATATATGGCTCGATTAAGTCTGGACCATCCCATTGGACCGACTAATCTTTTATTCGAATAAAATCACTCTTAAAGGACAACACAAGAATTAAAAAATGTAACTACATAAAAAGAAGTTATCAAATTATCCCAATTTAAATACTCCACAATTCTTAAAACCCACATGGTCCAAAATATTATGCAAAAAGCTAAACGAGAACTACTTAACTAAAAGACAAAAGTCTTTTTATTCAATCTCAAAGTAGTCTGACTAATTGCCTCTCTAATCTTCCATTTTCATTTCCAGAGTGCACGTTGGACCTCCCAATCTCCATAATTTTCCCAGTTCATCAGAAAGAAGTTTAACAAAATGACACTTACTCCAAGAACTAGTGCAATAAAATAAATTATTCTTATACTTGCTAATTTGCAGTGGTGTTGTCAGACTTGGCAGAAACATCTGTGGTGTCATTTATTCGCATCTTCTCCATATATGAAACATTAAACAAGAGAACAAAATATAAATACCTAGTTCACAATGTGTAAGTAAAGTAAGCAGCTCTCTTGATCGAAGCAACGTGGATGAGAACTCTGATTTGAGGGTAGGACTATAGGAGCGGGAGCGGCGAGTCAAAGTTAGGAAAAGTCAATCATAATTATAGGTAATTAAGTGATATGTAGGGTACTATGGTTTTCAACTCCAAGTCGACTTTCCTTCTCAGAGCCTAATAAAATGTGCAATTAATTTAATTACGATTCGGTCCGCTCCTTAGCTTGATTTTATGATTTCGGTCTGGACCGAACCAAAACCGAAAATGTCCAAAATTCAGGAACCAAAGTTGAATCGAAAGATAAACAGTTCAATCCGACTCAGTGTGAGAGTCGATTCGGTCTGATGTGAATCGTTGCCCACCCCTACTGATACCTGTCCTTCATACTTGGCGAGTGGGGGCTTAGGCCCACTGGACCTAGTGAAGTTAGTTGGATCAAGGGCGAGTCTTCAGAATTAGGCGATTGAGTCGGACCTTTCTATTGTTTTTCTCGGCCAATCGCTTCAAACTCCTCCACTAAATTGCTATAATACCTCCTTACTTGTATTACTAAGAGGCATTAATTAACTCTCTATAGATGCACCATGATTCCATGTGTCCCTAACAAGCTTCCTGCCAATTTTCTCTCTCTTTATATGCAAAGTCAGTAAATAGAATAAGATTGATGGATACAACACTAGAATATTAAGAACTCCCAAATCATGTCCACTGAAAGATTGCCACTCACGTGGTCAAAATCGAAGAGACTAAGGGGTCGTTTGCTTCTTGGATTTAAAAATGAGGGTTTTGTAATTTAAAAACCCAAGGATTTATCAAGGATTTGAGGCATCATGGATTTGTAACAATCCTTTGTTTGTTGGGATGTTTTTATCATGGATTTAAAGGTGTGGGATTTACTACTTGAAGTCAAAAATTACATTACTGCCCTTTTCTATATGTTTGACATGTTTATGATATGTACACAAAACAAGGACAAAACTTCAAAATTACCTTACTATTATTTTCTATATGTTTGACATGTTTATGATATGTACACAAAACAAGGACAATACATAGTAATAAGCATAATGTTGCCACATGGACAATAATAATAAACGAGAAAATTCCGTTTTAACTTTTAACGTAAAATAATCAATTACCAATTCTTTGTCCTCCTTTTCAAAAGTGACATATAACAACATATATTAGAATCGGGAGAACAAAGAATTACACGTTCCATGAAAAGGTCAAAGAAAACTAGAACACAATAAATGATATAAAAAAATCTAACTCATGTTTGCACATTAATTGAACGTTTATATTATTAATTTATTGTTAATTATAATGTATAATAGTTAAATTTGAGGGCAACCTTGAAATATTAAAAGTGCATGGGGGTATATGGGTAAAATCTCATCAAGGATTTATGCCATATTCCAAATCTCACATCAACATGTGGGATTTATAAGTCCGTGGGGTACACGGATTTGGACCCTTAAAATCCGTGGGGCCCACGGATTTGGTCTCCAGAAAAGGTGCAAGCAAACAACGGATTGTACCTAAATCCTTGATAGTTGGTTTTTTTGTACCAAATCCTTGAAGCAAACGACTCCTAAGTCTCCATGAGGAATACAGGGGACTTTAAGCGGATTACTAACAACGAATTCAACTCTCTTCATCCTATTGAATTCATTTACGGAAGTACAATTCCGACATCACTTCACCTATGTCGAGGCTATTATAATTTGTTGGTATTGAAACTGTGTTGGAGGACGTGGTCAGTAGGCCTTCTTTGAGTTGACGCGATGTAGTGGCTTTTGGAACATTGGTCGCAAGAGCTACATCAACAGAATTGATGTTGGTGAATTTCTGCGCTGATGTTGCCGCAATGCGGAGCGGAGCCACGATGGGCAGCAGGGTTGGTGGATCGAAGGAAGCAACTGTTGTTAGTTCTAGATTGGGGCTGGTTGTTCGATGACGTCCCATGGCTTTGTTGGAAATGTGAACATGTTTGAAGCTATATGCCTCAAAGAACACTTACTAACAGTATACGTAGTGAATTCTCTTCTAATTGCATATCCTTTGGGGTAAACTATTTTTGTAGAAGAGGGAGAACCTAATGGACCTCCACACACACGGACGTTTGTACCGTTTGACTGACTGGTCGATCATGCAGGTGGGAGGGTGGGTTGGTCGACTTGAAACTACTAATTTTTGGAAAATTTTGTATAAACATGTATCACCTTATCCGTTATCAGAAAAAGGGGAATGGCCAACAACCCTCTAATAAAATGTACTCCACCAATCATTCTTTACAAGGCCCTAGATTGGCGCATCCCTGGATCAAACTCCAGGACAGGAAGAACAGAACAATGGAGGCTTACGAAGATTGTCAAAGTTGTAAATTAAAGTACAAGTTTTTCATCAAATGGTTTTGAAGTAGACTTCTGCTTCATGAAAGGACAGAATAGTTGGTCCTCTCATTATGCTCTGTACATGGTATTTCTCCAACAAAAATGTCATAAATAGCATTACATGACTTCTGAAAATGACTTGAGAGAATTCTGACCTCAATCGGACGACGTGGTCACAAGCGTTTGATACACGAAATAAACTGAGTTCAGAGAAGCAAAAGAAAAATGATAACTAGAACAATGTGCATCAGCCTCTAGTGATTGACAAGGCTCATTCCTTCTCCTTTTTCTCCCCAGACAAGTACCTATGGCCAAGAAGGACATAAACCATTCAATCAAGGTACAAGAAAATGAATGGGATTCAGAGCTTCGGTAATTAAAACAAGCATTAGCATGGGAAGTTAGTTAACTTACCCTTGAGCCTTAGCCCACCGCGAGAACTGATACAGTTGGACAGTCTCATTTGAAGCATGACAAGCTAGAAGGAGATAGTTACGTGGCTGTACCATCCAGGCAAACCTCATGAACAATGCTGAATAAACACACATCGCTGCAGCACCAAGAAGGTCTCAGCATTAAGATCAAATTTAGCCAGTACATGTACAACAACAATGAAAGATATTAAAAAGGGCGGTGTTTTCTTAAGCCCTTCCACTCAGAAACTCCTACCTCCCGTCATGTTTGCAGAGATCATCTCTGGGGGTTTCTGCATGTCTACCAGACCCTGTTAACACACATCAACAATGTTTTAGAATTTGACAGACAGCACACTGAAAGCACGGACAAAGCAGTCTTTCGGAGCATACAGCAGCTACAAATCCCCAATTTGCAACAGGTCCCCAAAAGTGCGTCGTCTTAGGACCAACAGGGCTATTCCAGAAAGCTTTGAAGGCAGCCATTTTATGAGGGAATCTGCTTTATACCACTGCAATGATCACAAACAAAATTGGATCATAGTCATACATATCATGTTCAAGAAATGTCAACACAAACAATTGACTTTGCAATGCTTGTCGCTTAGGGGGAAGGGGAACGAGGAATGGGCGAAGAGCGAGACAGAGAGAAAATACAGTAAAATGATTGGTTTTGTCATTGGAAACACTGAGAGTGATGCATTCCTAGTTCTGAGTGAGCAGATGTTTCATATCACAGATCAGTCAGCTACGGTAGACACCTAAAATGGGCAATCATGCTAATGTATCTAACTGATTTGAACACCAAAACGCTTCCAAATTCAACTGGTTAACATTACATAGTTTCTCCAGCGGCAGTGTTAATTTGCATTCTACAGCATACTTGGTAGAAATTTGAACTTCAAGATGGCATAAAGAAACAACGATACCAATCATCTACAGAATGCCATAGAAAGAATCCACGACCATACCAACTGAATCAATTCCTCAAACCCTTACGCCTTCACCACCTCGAACTCCATTGTCAATCAGACAACAACAAAAAAAAACTTCCCCCCAGTTACCTAAACGTCCTTTTGGCCATGGAAACGATAGAACCAACACCCCAGATTAAGGTAAAACACTTAAAAGCACACACTCTTTGGTCCAATTCGCGAGCAGTCAATCAATCCCTAGTCCAATCTCCCAAATACGCACAACCATCCGAACAAACAAAATGAACCATAAGGAAAGGCTCCAGAACGAGGGTTCCAACCAGAAGAGACGCCGGGGCCTTAGTAATAACACCTTATTCAGCCCATTACCACCAGAGAGCAAAGCGATTGTCTTGAGACTTTATAGGCCGATAACAATTTAGGTGCCAAAGTAAAAGACTTCTAATTTCAACTAACGGTATAAATTTCGGATTATTTAGGGCTCTGCAGGAAAAAGAAAAAAAGAAAAACACAGGTCGGGGAGAGAGAGGGCAAGGCGGAGGCGTACCTGAGGGCGAGATCGCCTGAAAAAAGTGAGCCGGCTGCCGGTCTCCCTGGTTGGTGGGGATTGAAAGCGAAGACAGGGCCGTCAATTTGTCAGAGATATGGTGTCCGGCAATTCTATATACTGCAGCCGGGCCAATGGCATCTACTTCCAAAATAATTTTAGTTTATGTTATAGGTTATAAAAATAAATTCGTTGAACTACTAAATCGCTTAGACCAAGGAGATCCAAAATTCCATTCTACTTAAAAAAAAAAAAAAAAACTGAATTCCTATTTAACGCCCTAAGTTTTTAAATAAATCGCCCTAAATATAATGAATGGACGATTTTGCCCCCAACATTAAACGCCCTTTCTTCAATTAACCGAATATAAATTTACGCCCTAATGACAGTCTTCCCCGGCTAGCCGCCCTCTGTCTTTCCCAACAGCACCGCCGCCCTCTCTCTTCACCGACTTTGTCGCCGCCTTCTATCTTCCACGGCATCGCCGCCGCAATATGCTTCATCTCGCCTCCGCCCTTTGTCGTACCCCGCAGCGCCGAGACCCTCTGTCTTCCCCGGTAGCGTCGCCCTATCCACCACTTGTTCTTCTTGGTCGAAGGTTCTATCACCATCTCTCAAACCTCTGTCGATCTTCCCTTCCATAACTGCGTCCGAACCCGACGCCATTTTGTCATTTTTATTTTCACCCTCGTGGACCGATTCAGCCACCATTGTCATCATGATTAATGATTCGATTGTCCCGCTCCCAGTTCCAACAGTTCGAGGAAATAACTATGTTAATAATCAAAGACAATGCCCAAATTGATTCCACTATAGCACCCAGGTAATACAAGCCTTTACCTTAAAGGTCGGCCACCTCTGGATCCGCTAGCCGGTGACAATAAAAATGGGGTAGACATAGTTGTGGACAACGGCCGCCGCATAGCTTCATTTGAAATTTAGAATAGGGGTAAATGTGTCTATTTTAAATTTAGGGCGATAAAATTTGAAAATCTAGGGCGACGAATAGTAACTCTAAAAAAAATGCTCCAATAAAGAGATAAAAAACACCCAAATTTTGAAATATTCACTTTATTTCTAATCTAGTTTTGTGTAGATTTTATCATTTTAATTAGATAATTTGTTCATTATTTTTATATAGGTATTAATAATTAAGTAAGATGCACTTTTTATGTACTTTTTAATTTGGACAAAAAAATCCGTTAAATGTGGCATAGATAAAAATACAATAATTTGTTCAAATACCCACAAATTCATCACATGTTAGTCAGATTGAGTTGTGTTATCGAACTATATAAAAAATTACACTTAATAAAGTAGTACACTAAAAAGATTACATGTCTTGGTAAGAAGCAACAATGTCACTTTTTTTTGTGTCTCTAATACCAAGTCCGAGTTCGAGGATTGTATTGAGAAAGATCCATATCCATATTATCATCATCTCATGCTTGTTCTTCTCTTTTATTTCATTCGCTCTATCTCTTGCTTCTCTTGCAACTTTGCGTTCCTTTCTAGTGATTGCTAACCTTGCTTGAGTGTTTGGTCTTATTTTTGTTTCAATTTTCTATGGAAGAATATGGAGTTGCTCTATTCTTCTTCTTTTGTTTATCCCAACTTTGGGACGGTTGATCACAAAAGGGGGTCGCTTGAATGTCGGGGCTATCACTTTCGCCAGATGGCATGCCCGATGAAGATCCATTCATTGGTGGAATGGTTGGTACGGGGGAAAGAAATTGTTGTAGATACTTTAGAGACTCTTGAAGTATATCCCAATTGTAGGGGTGGGATATTAATCTGCCTAATATGACAAATTACTGCGTCAACACCTGCCACAAGCCCACTACAGGGCGTTTCACCTCGGGCCCAAACCTAGACTCCTATATAAGGGGGTTCAAGCCTTCCAAACAAGGGACTTCTTCCCTTCCCTCATTTCACCATAAAGGATTTTCTCCCCTTCCCAGTTCCACCACTTGAAGTCTCTCTCTAAACTCTCTCTAAATTCCATACACACTATTCTTATACCATATTAACTTGGGCATTAGAGCGTAGGTCATGGAGTCCTCCCTCCTTCTCATAGATTCCTCGCCTCACAAAAAGATTCAAAGAGGAAGTCCAGATCGGAGCCTCAAATAATCATTGTTATCCACCTAGTACTTTCTAGGCCTAAAATGTTAGGCGCCCACCATGGGGTCATAATTTTGGAATTCTTTGTTCGGTTTCCAAAGGAGGGGGGTTTCTCTGTAAAGGAAAAAGATCACAAAAGCTTTAGGATAAGGGAAAATGAGGGATTGAGTGGGCATTTGGGATGCCTAATCTAGCTAAGAGGTAGATCGAGAAATGAGTTATGATCTTGGAGCTATCTCAAATTCAAGAGCGTCATTAAAAACCGATTCATCTCCACTCTAAAGGTCAAAGCAAGCAAAGGTATGCACGAGGGAGGTTAAAGGAAAGCTAGGAAATACAAACAACTCCGGTTGTTCCAAATTTTATTTTAAGAAGCGAGAGAAACTGGCCATGAAAGCTGAGGGTTCTGCAAAATAAGGAAAAGAAGAGAGAGAACAAGAGTCTCCAGGTTAGTCACCGTATCATTCTACGCCGGCAAAGCGAGTCGTTGGCATCTGCAGTTGATGACACTTTACTTATAGTGTTTGTCACTCCTATTCTTGATACATTTTGCCCTTCTATTGAAGCATATGTAGTCATTTCAATAGTATTTCTTGTATAAATTACAACTATTTGATCAATGAGCCTTTACCTATATAATGTTCTTGTATTATTTGATGCCTTGTCGGTATACTTTTAATGGTTTTGAAGGTATAAAGCAACATAAGGAAGATTGGATCAAGCATTGAAGAACTTTGTAGGACCAAATAAGCTATAAAGAGAAGTTTAAGGAGTTTGCATGAGAAAGAAATGGTCCAATGACGGGGAAGTCAACTACAAGTTGTTAGAGTACATCCAGACGAGCCCATAGGAGGATGAATCAGTCTCAAGCAACGGATCCAACAGTCTGTCCCCCAAGTTGCAGCCCAAATCGTTTGAAACAGAAGTTCAAGGATCAAGAAGCCCAAAGCACGAAGAACCAAAGCGGTAGGTCCAACTGACGCCATACTGCCACCTTCCCTTTGCATTGTGGACAAAGTTTCCTAAGTCTTCAACCAAAATTAAAATTTCCTAAGTCTACTAGGTTTAAGATATTCTTTCATAGTCAGTTTAGGTTGTTTTAGGCCAGATTCTCCCCTATAGATAGAGGGCAAGGCTCCATTGTATGAGTAAGGCTACACAAACACACAAATCTATATAATACCCTACTCGAGTGCTTAGCCTAGTTGAAGTAGCGGGGTCTGCAGCTAAAAAGATTTTGTCATCATCAATAGTGGTACCTTCCTTTTCCTCTATGCAGCTTTTTGAAATTGAATGTAATAGGATGTGATTTTGATTTTTGTTATGTGAATGAATGTTATAATTTCACTCATGCTTGTGTTTGTTTATGAAGATCTCGATGCATATGATTATGTATGGATGCTTTCTTGTATTAGATGCTTATGATGGTCAGTGATGTTTCCTAGTATGAGTACTCTCATATCATCATTGCTGATGATTCTATTGTATGCTACTATATGCATTGTGCTTAGGATTGGTTAGATCGTCAAGAAATTACCTTTCTAGGAATACTCCATTGATCCTACATAAGTAGAGATGGATTGATCACCCATATATGCTTCGAGTAGTATCAATGCTTGATTGTTAGATCATCGATATTATATACTATAGTTATGGTTCGTAAAATCCCACAATTAACTATATGATATCTTAACTTTCTTATTCTTTATTATTGGGTAATGACATGAAGCGGAAGCATGCAATGGAATAGTTAAAAGAAAATATGATTATGAATTTTTACCACTGTTATAATCAATTTGATCATAATCAATTTGATCTTCGCAAGTGGAATGGTTCTACCGTGGTACAACCAGTTCATACCAATTTTAACAAAAATTATGAGTAAAATATCAAGGGTTAATACATTATTCTGGCTCGAACTATACACATCTAATCAACTTTGGCTACTGGTTTCAGAAATTGCTATCCGCCATCTATACACCATATTGACTCAATTGGCCCGATTCGTGAATTTCTTTCAAATTAGATGGTGAACACCATTGACTAACGGTCAACACACAATATTATTTCCTGGCCGACCTAAACATTATTAAAAATTTTGAATTCAAATTATTTTTCTTAATTTTAAATGTAAGCTGGAAATTAAAAAGAAATTCCCCCTCACTCTCCTCACTTGGCCCACACGGCCCCATCCCTTTCCCAACCTATCTTCCTTAACAATCCATCACCGGATCTGCACCAACGCCTACCATTGAAATCGTCGGTCTGGAGAAGGTCTCGCCGGTCTAGAGATCCATTTTTGGGTGCTCCGTCATGCTCACCCCCAGCCTCCCATCAAAATCGTAGGGGCCGATGATTTTCATGTCGACATTCTCTGTTAATCCGATGACGTAAGGGAGATCGGACTCCCCCAGAACGAAGAGGTGGTCGCAAAAGAAGGCAAGGTTGGTGTTGGCAAGGCTGATGTCGATTCCGGATCAAACTACAGATAACGACTCTGACGATGGTCAGCGCTGCGCGAGGGAGTGCGGCAGGGAATCTGTTGAAGACGAAGAAGACATTGGGCACGAGAGGAGCTCCGGCTGCGCACTCGATGAGGGGTTTTTGCTAGAGAGCTTCAAGTGGACAAGGCGAGGCCAATCAAGCGAGAGGGGATCTGGCTGGTGAAGATATTGAATGAGAGGTTGAGAAGGGCGAGGGAGAGGAGGGAGGAGATTTGGTGGGGGATTTGGCCGGAAAAGTTGTTGGCATGGAGGTGGATAAGGGAAATGGAGGAATTGAGGAGCGGAGTAGAGGAAGACAAAGGAAGAGAGAGAGAGGCCGGCATGTGAAGAGAAATTAAAAATAAATAGAAAAAATGATTTTGTTGTATCATTATTTATTATTTTAATAACTAAAAAATTAGAAAATAATTTGATTTTGATTTTTTTTTTAAATTTTAGTGATGGTATGGTAGGGAGTTAGACCATTGACCGTTAGTTAACGGTGTTGATCGTCCAAACTAACG